TGAGGGTTCCCTTTTCTCCACGTCCTCGCCAGCATGTGTTATTGCCTGTCTGTGAACAGAAGACATTTTAACTGGGGTGAGATGACATCTCATTATAGTTTTGATTTGCATTTCTCTGATGATTAATGATATTGAACACTTTTTTATAGGTCTGTTTGACTTTTTTTTTTTTTTTTTTTTTTGAGACGGAGTTTCGCTCTTGTTACCCAGGCTGGAGTGCAATGGCGCGATCTCGGCTCACCGCAACCTCCGCCTCCTGGGTTCAGGCAATTCTCCTGCCTCAGCCTCCTGAGTAGCTGGGATTATAGGCACGCGCCACCATGCCCAGCTAATTGTTTGTATTTTTAGTAGAGACGGGGTTTCACCATGTTGACCAGGTTGGTCTCGATCTCTCGACCTTGTGATCCACCCGCCTCGGCCTCCCAAAGTGCTGGGATTACAGGCTTGAGCCACCGCGCCCGGCCGACTTTTTTTTTTTTTTTTTTAAGACACGGTCTTGCTCTGTCACCCAGGCTGGAGTGCAGTGGCACAATCTTGGCTCACTGCGACCTCCACTGCCTGGGTTCAAGCAATTCTCTTGACTCAGACTCCAGAGTAGGTGGGGTTACAGGAGCCCACCACCAAACCTGGCTAATTTTTTTAAATTTATTTATTTGTTTATTTTTAGCAGAGACAGGGTTTCACTATGTTGGCCAGGCTGGTCTCAAACTTCAGACCTCAAGTGATCCACGCTCCTCAGCCTCCCAAAGTGCTGGGATTCTAGTCATGAGCCACGGCACCCGGCCCTGTTTGCCATTTGTATGTCGTCGTCTTTTTTTTTTTTCGGTGTAGAATGTGTATCTTCTTTTGAGAAATGTCTATTCAGATCTTTTGCCCATTTTTAAATCAGATTATTCAATTTTTTCCTATGGAGTTGTTTGAGCTCCTTATATAGTCTGGTTATTAATCCCTTGTCAGATGGGTTGTTTGCAAATATTTTCTCTCATTCTGTGGGTCTCTTCACTTTGTTGTTTCCTTTGCTGTGCAAAAGCTTTTGAACTTGATGTGGTCCACCAAGCGAATTTAGAACATTTCTGTCCATTTAGCAACATTTCACCCCAAGAAGAAAACCTACCCCTCTAAGTAATTACTTCCTAATCCTCCTCTCTCCCCCTCACCCTTGGTAGCCACTTGTCTGCTTTGTCTCTATATTTATTTCTTCTGCACATTTCATGTAAAATGCAATCTTTGTGACACATGTGGTCTAATTTCACTTCGCATAACATTTTCAAGTTTCATACACGTTACAGCATGTATCAATACTTGATCAGTTTTATGTGTTAATTTGACTGGGCCACAACTAAACAAATACTTGGTCTAACATTACTGAGTATTTCTGGGAGGGTGTTTTGGATGAGATTAAGTTAACCTTTTTTTTTTTTTTTACCCATTAACTGTTAGGCCTCCAAGTTCAGGCCTGGCCATTTTAGCCTTGGTGACCTGCATGTACACCTCTGGATGGTCTCCAGGAACCAGAAAGTCGAAAGCAACCACAAGCAACCAGGTGGCCATGGAAAGAAGTAAAGCAACTTGTTCCTACCTCAACTAATTGCCGAAACCTGCATCCATTATTCCTGTTCAGACGTGAAAAAATTCCCCCCGGACACTGGGTTTCTCAAGACCCCTATCCCTGTAACTACGTAATCTACTGCACCCTCCCCTCTGACTGTAATTGATACTCCCCACCCTTATGATCATGCCTGTTCGTAATAAATGACTCCTACTTTGTGATCATGCATCTCGTGACACCCCTCCTCTCCCCAAGATAGATTACCACCTTTAGCTGACCATTTGCCCCAACTATATAACCAATCCCCTCTCCTACCCGCTTTGTCTAACCCCTTTCTCGGACTTGGCCTGCTTGCACCCAAGCACAAAATAAACAGTTGCCCACACAAAGCCTGTCTGGTAGTCTCTTTATGCGAGTGACATGTGTGACATTAACCATCTCCCCTTCCCCACCCCTACCTGCCACTACCCTTCCCAGCCTTCAGTAATCATCCTTCTACTATCTCCATGAATTCCACTGTTTTAATTTTTAGCTCCCACAGAGAAGTGAGGACATGCAGTTTATCTTTCTGTGGTAAACCGAGTAACACAGACTGCCCTCCCTAATGTGAATGGGCCTCTTCCAATCAGTTGAGGATCTGAATAGAACAAAAGGTTGATGCTCACCCAAGTAAGAGAACATGCCCTGCAGGATGACCTTCAAACTGGTACACAGGCTCTTCTCGGTTCTATAATGGTCTGCTGGCATTTGGACTCAAAAAACGTTCTGTTGGAGAATCCATATTCTGGTTTTTCTTTTTTTTAAGACAGAATCTCATTCTATCCCCCAGGCTAGTGTGCAGTGGTGTGATCTTGGCTGCAATCTCTACCTCCCGGGTTCAAGCAATCCTCCTGCCTCAGCCTCCTGAGTAGCTGGGATTACAGGTGCCCACCACCAAGCCCAGCTAATTTTTGTAATTTTAGTAGAGACCTGGTTTTGCCATGTTGGCCAGGTTGGTCTTGAGCTCCTGACCTTAAGTGATCCACCCACCTGGGACTCCTAAAGTGCTGGGATTACCGTAAGCCACCACGCCCAGCCCTCCATGTTCTGTTTATCCACTCATCAGTTGATGAACATTTGAACTACATCCACTTTTTGGCTCTTATGAAAAGTGCCGCTATAAACATTCATGTACAAGTAGTGGTATGAACTTTTTTTTTTTTTTTTTTGAGACAGAGTCTCACTCCGTTGCCAAGCTGGAGTGCAATGGTGCCATCTCAACTCACTGCAACTTCCACCTCCGGGGTACATGTGATTGTCCTGCTTCAGCCTCCTGAGTACCTGGGATCACAGGTGCTTGCCACCATGCTCGGCTAATTTTTTATATTTTTAGTGGAGCTGGGGTTTCACCATGTTGGCCAGGGTGGTCTTGAACTCCTGACCTGAGGTGATACACCCTCCTTGGCCTCCCAAGGTGCTGGGATTACAGGTGTGAGCCACTGCACCTGGCCATGTTTTTGCTTTTCTTGGGTATATACATAGAAGTGGAATTGCTGGGTTACATGGTAGTTCCATGCTGATAAACTGCCAGGCTGTTTTCCGCAGTGGCCACACGATTTCACATTCCCAACAGCAGTGTATGAGGCTTCCGAAGTCTCCACATCCTCACTAACACTTATTATGTTCTCTCTTTCTTTGTTTTTCTTAATAGCCATGCTAATGGGTGTGACATAGTATCTCACTGTGGTTTTGATTCACATTCCCCTAATGATTAGTGATGTTGAACACTTTTTCATGCATTTATTAGCTCTTTGTTTATCTTCTTTAAAGAAATGTCACCAGGGCCGGGCGCGGTGGCTCACGCCTGTAATCCCAGCACTTTGGGAGGCTGATGCGGGTGGATCACAAGATCAAGAGATCGAGACCATCCTGGTCAACATGGTGAAACCCTGTCTCTACTAAAAATACAAAACATCGGGGCCGGGCGCGGTGGCACAAGCCTGTAATCCCAGCACTTTGGGAGGCCGAGGCGGGTGGATCACAAGGTCAAGAGATCGAGACCATCCTGGTCAACATGGTGAAACCCCGTCTCTACTAAAAATACAAAAAAGTAGCTGGGCATGGTGGCATATGCCTGTAATCCAAGCTACTCAGGAGGCTGAGGCAGGAGAATTGCCTGAACCCAGGAGGCGGAGGTTGCGGTGAGCCGAGATCGCGCCATTGCACTCCAGCCTGGGTAACAAGAGCAAAACTCCGTCTCAAAAAAAAAAAAAAAAAAGAAAAAGAAAAGAAAAGAAAAAATAGAAAATTCACTAGGCATGGTGGTGCGTGCATGCTTGTAAACCCAGCTACTCAGGAGGCTGAGGCAGGAGAATTGCTTAAACCCAGGAGGTGGAGGTTGCAGTGAACAGAGACCACGCCACTGTGCTCCAGCCTGGGCAACAGAGCAAGACTCCATCTCAAAAATAAATAAATTAAAAAATAAGCCAGGCGCGGTGGCTCACACCTGTAATCCCAGCACTTTGGGAGGCCGAGGCGGGTGGATCACGAGGTCGAGAGATTGAGACCATCCTGGCCAACATGGTGAAACCCCGTCTCTACTAAAAATACAAAAAATTAGGCCGGGCACGGTGGCTCAAGCTTGTAATCCCAGCACTTTGGGAGGCTGAGGCGGGTGGATCACGAGGTCGAGAGATCGAGACCATCCTGGTCAACATGGTGAAACCCCGTGTCTACTAAAAATACAAAACATTAGCTGGGCATGGTGGTGCGTGCCTGTAATCCCAGCTACTCAGGAGGCTGAGGCAGGAGAATTGCCTGAACCCAGGAGGCGGAGGTTGCGGTGAGCCAAGATCGCGCCATTGCACTCCAGCCTGGGTAACAAGAGCGAAACTCCGTCTCGAAAAAAAAAAAAAAAAAAAAAAAAAAAAAAAAAAAAAAATTAAAAAATTAAAAAATAAATAAAGATGTGTCTATTTAGATCCTTTGCTCATTTTAAAATTAGGTTATTTTTGGCCAGGCTCGGTGGCTCGTGCCTATAATCCTAGCACTTTGGGGGACTGAGGTGGGTGGATCATGAGGTCAAGAGACCAGACCATCCTGGCCAACATGGTGAAACCCTGTCTCTATTAAAAATACAAAGATTAGGCCGGGCGCGGTGGCTCAAGCCTGTAATCCCGGCACTTTGGGAGGCCGAGGCGGGTGGATCACGAAGTCGAGAGATCGAGACCATCCTGGTCAACATGGTGAAACCCCGTCTCTACTAAAAATACTAAAAATTAGCTGGGTGTGGTGGTGCGTGCCTGTAATCCCAGCTACTCGGGAGGCTGAGGCAGGAGAATTGCCTGAACCCAGGAGGCGGAGGTTGCGGTGAGCCGAGATCGCGCCATTGCACTCCAGCCTGGGTCACAAGAGCAAAACTCCGTCTCAAAAAAACAAAAAACAAAAAACAAAAAAAAATGGAGTTACCTACCTCAGCTTTGTTTCTCAAAGGCTTTAATCCAGGAGGAGCTGAAATTGTTTCTTGGCAGGAGGGGTTTCAGGTTTGCACTGCTCTAAAAGAGACGCTCTCAGAAACGAGGGACCTCCAATTTTGGCGTCATCGCCGCACGCACCCCCACCCAAGCCAGCACTGTGGCTGGAACACTGGTGCAGAGGGTAAGGGGTTTGGGTGGAGTGGGAACTCAGGTGCAGGAACGCTGGAGATCAGATCAACGCCCGCTACCAAAACACCCAACCCCTCCCCGCCGAGAGAGGGCAGCACTGAGGCCAGGAGCCGCTGCACGGGGTGCTGGGGACCCACCGAATTCTCACCGCTTGCGATGGACTTCTGAAAACGCGCAGGGGTTGAAAAGCGCCGCTTCACAACGGAGACTGAAGGGGTGGTCAAGACTCACGAGGAGTTTTAGCAACGGCCTGCACAGAGTCTGGGCGCCTGGGGAGGGCCTCGGAGGAACGGCCAGGTCGGGGAACGATTTCAAATGCGTCCTCGACAACGCGGAGTGAAGACTGTGGGAGTTCTTAGCCCCGGTCCCGCCTCCAGTGCTCCCCGGGGCGCACGGCGGCCCCGCGACGCGTTTGGGTTTCTTCGAGAGAGCCTCGCTCGCACCGGCGCCCGCGCAGCGGCAGCGCCCGGCACCCTCGGGCAGCTCGGCGCCGCGGGACTCCCTGCGCCAGGCACGCCCCCCGCGCCGGCCGTTTCCGCACTTCCCAAGCCCAAGCCAATCAGCGCTCGGCAGCGACCGGCAGGGATGACCAATCGATTTATCCTGCGTTGTACTCAAGACCTAGAAGTCGAGCATCGTACATTCGATCGAGGGAACGTCCGGGCCCCAACGCTAAATTGGGTGACCGTTCAGCGGTTGTCTCGGGGGTTGCAGGAAGATCCCGTTTCCTTGGCGTGGAAGGAGAGGTTGACCCCGAAGAGCTAAGATTCTAGAAGCACACGGCAGGGCGCGATAGCTCACGCCTGTAATTCCAGCACTTTGGGAGGCCAAGGCGGGAGGATTGCCAGAGATCAGGAGTTCGAGACCAGCCTGGTCAACATGGTATAACCCCCGTCTCTACTAAAAAAAAAAAAAAAAAATAGCTGGGTACGGTGGCGGGTGCCTGTAATCTCAGCTACTCTGGAAGCTGAGGCTGGAGAATCGCTTGAACCCGGTAGGCGGAGGTTGCAGTGAGTTCAGATTGCGCCACTGCACTCTAGCCTGGGGGCAACAAGAGTTAAACTATGTCTCAATAAATAAATAAATAAATAAATAAATAAATAAATATTCTAGAAGCACACTCTTTATCCCTGGCCCTCCTCCTCCTTCAGTGGGTAGGTTGGGACAAGTTATCTCTTTTCTCGGGGTCTGTGTTCTGCCTATAAAAGAAGGAATGAGACAAAACGGTCTCTACAGTCTGTTTATCCTGGCCCTGCAAATCCAGGATCGGTGCCATTGAATCTCAGCCTGATGTCACTGGTCTTGCCCTGCCTGGTGTTCTGAAGCTCTGTCGGCAGTAACATGCACTCCAGCCAGGATCTTCAGTCCAGGACATCATCACTGGGGAAACTGAGGCATAAGAAAAAGAAAAATGGGGATTGTTTATCCACAAATACATATGGTGCACTGCGTATCTGGCACTGCGCTGGTGCTGGGTCCCCTATGAGAAATAGGCATGGTCCTTGCCACCCCAGTTATGAGCTATGTCACTTCCACCAGACTCTCAGGTCACCAGCGGGGAGCTGTACTCTCATCAAGCTGCTCTCACCAGCAAACAGGATGGAGACAGACTTGTAGGCCTGCATGTTCCTGGGCTCCTCTTGAACGCCCAGCTCAGCCACTGGCTGTCATCTACCCACAGATCTGAAAGGAGTGAGTCCAGACAGGCTCCAGCAGTACCTCTTTTCTTGAGGAAGCCACCTTCTCCTGGCTGTCCAACCCTGAGAGGACCTTGCAAGTTTGGGGGAGTTCCTCTTGGCACTCTGGTTCATCCAGAATGCACCCAAACACCCTCTACACCCTCCCCCAGCCCCCACAGGCCCTCCAGCCTCATACCCTGCTGGGGTTCTTTTGCAGAGTTTTGCCTTGAGGTCATCAGAGAGGTCCTGCTCCATGAGGCTTTGAAGCACCACCAAGAAAAACCCCTGCAAGACCAGGAACATATCTGAGAGGCATCTGAAGTCAGATAGGCTGTATTGGAATCCTAACTTTTTCTGACAGTGTGGTCTAGGTAATTTAACTTCTACCAGCCCCGTGTGTGTCATGAACATCATCACAGCACGTACCTCACAGATTGCTGAAAGGATTAAATGAAATGATGCATATAAATTACTTGCAGCATGCCTGTCAGAGATGTACAGTAAATGGGCAAGAATTAGGAGCTACTGTTATTCTGCTATTGTGATCATATTCAGCAGGAAAGAGGCCTCCCAGGCTAGGCTCCAGTCCTTGATGAGAAGGTGCCCACTTTATGTCCTCTCCTGTTTCTCACCTTCTGCTTCTGCCTCCTGTGGTCCCAGCTGAGCAGCTGTACCTCAGCAACATCCAGTTTCCTGCCTCAGAACATGAAGCCCAGACATACAAGCTGAGGGAGGATGCCACACTCGAGGGGCAAGGGAAGAGCACACTTGGGGAGCCTGTGCTTCAGAGCTCTGGTCACATCCCCAAGGAGCACAGCAGGCCCTGCCAGATAAACAGACAAAATCAAGAGGGTTACAAGGTGGGACAAAGAAGGAAGACTGTTAAAAATCGAATCTGCTAGGCCAGGCCTGGTGGCTCACACCTGTAATCCCAGCACTTTGGGAGGTCTAGGCAGGCGGATCACTTGAAACCAGGAGTTCGAGACCAGCCTGGCCAACATGGTAAAACCCCATCTCTACTAAAAACACAAAAAATTAGCTGGGCATGGTGGCATAAGCTGTAGTCCCACCTACTCAGGAAGCTTAGGCCGCAGAATCACTTGAACCCGGGAGGTGGAGGTTGCAGTGAGCCAAGATCACACCACTGCACTCTAACCTGGTGACAGAGCAAAACTCTATATTTTATTTATTTGCTCATTTATTTTATTTATTTATTTTTTTCTGAGGCGGAGTTTCACTCTTGTTACCCAGGCTGGAGTGCAATGGCGCGATCTCGGATCACCGCAACCTCCGCCTCCTGGGTTCAGGCAATTCTCCTGCCTCAGCCTCCTGAGTAGCTGGGACTACAGGCACACGCCACCATGCCCAGCTAATGTTTTGTATTTTTAGTAGAGACGGGGTTTCACCATGTTGACCAGGATGGTCTCCATCTCTTGACCTCGTGATCCACCCGCCTCGGCCTCCCAAAGTGCTGGGATTACAGGCTTGAGCCACCGCGCCTGGCATTCATTTATTTAAGATGGGATTTCACCATATTGGTCAGGCTGGTCTCGAACTCCTGACCTCAGGTGATCCATCCACCTCAGCCTCCCAAAGTGCTGGGATTACAGGCCTGAGCCACCGTGCCCGGCTAAGACTGTATTTTAAAAAATGAGTCTGGGTGCGGTGGCTCACACCTGTAATCCCAGCACTTTGGGAGGCCGAGGCGGGTGGATCACAAAGTCAGGAGATCGAGACCATCCTGGCTAACACAATGAAACCCAATCTCTACTAAAAATACAAAACATTAGTCAGGCCTGGTGGCGCGTGCCTGTAGACCCAGCTACTCGGGAGGCTGAGGCAGGAGAATGGCTTGAACCTGGGAAGCGGAGGTTACAGTGAGCCGAGATTATGCCACTGCACTCCAGCCTGGTGACAGAGCAAGACTTCACCTCAAATAAAAAGAAAAGAAAAGAAAAGAAAAAACTGAATCTGCTGTGCCCAACCAAACCATCAGCTGTGGAGTCCTGCCCTGAATCATTTACTGCTTACCCTATGTCTGGGACCATCAGGGTGGACAGGTGGCAGCAGCTGTTTTCCAAGCCCTGCTGCTCCCAGGCCAGTGTGACATCTGCAATGACCAAATTTTAGCAGGCTGGACACCCTCATGTCACCGTAGCATTTATCCTTGGTCTACTTGCCACTTGTGCTCTGCCCAGTGGGGAGGAAGTGGCAAGGCCTTGGCTCTGGGTTCCACAGGTAGAGTTTTGCAGGGCAGTCCAGTGAACTCATTTTTTTTTTTTTGAGACGGAGTTTCACTCTTGTTGCCCAGGCTGGAGTGCAATGGCGCGATCTCGGCTCACCGCAACCTCCACCTCCTGGGTTCAGGCAGTTCTCCTGCCTCAGCCTCCTTAGTAGCTTGGGATTACAGGCATGCACCACCATGCCCAGCTAATTTTTTGTATTTTTAGTAGAGACGGGGTTTCACCTTGTTGACCAGGATGGTCTCGATCTCTTGACCTTGTGATCCACCCGCCTCGGCCTCCCAAAGTGCTGGGATTACAGGCTTGAGCCACTGTGCCCGGCTGTGAACTCATTCTTTACACAACCTACCCAGGCCTTCTTTCAGCCACCCCTCCTGCTGAGATTATATGTAATGTATTTTATATATGTGTATGTGTACATATACATATACACACATATATATATATAATATTGTATATAATTTTTTATAGAGACGGGATATTTCTCTGTCATCCAGGCTGGAGCACAGTGGCACGATCATAGCTCACTGCAGCCTCAAACTCCTGGGCTCAAGTGATTCTCCTGCCTCAGCTTCTCGAGTAGCTGAGACTACAGGCAGGAACCACCAGGCCTGGCCGTTTTTTTTTTTTTTTTTTTTTTTTTTTTTGGAGCGATAAGGTCTCACCATCTTGCTCAGGCTGGTCTGGAACTTCTGGGCTCAAGCCATCCTCCTGCCTTGGCCTCTTAAAATATTGGGATTGCAGGCATGAGTCACAGTGCCTGGCCAAGAAACTATATTTTGAGCAGCTGCTGGCAGTGGGGACTAAGTTCTGGTCTGAGGAGGGCTTCCTGGGAGTTCAGGAGAGAAATGCCTGTCACTGTTTTGTGCAGTGAGTACAGCTCTTTCTGGTTACCCAGAGGACAAGGTGTGGCTCCCTCCACAGTGTAGGTCCCTGGCCCCAGGTCCCTGACCTGGGCTCTCCCCAGTCACCAGAAATTCCTCTCCTTCCTCCCCAGCAGGGCGTTTGGCTGGCTGAGGTCAAGACAGCAGCTATGCAGACCCTGACTTGTGGACATTCCTAAGTACCAAGGGCTCGCCTTGTGTCCCGCCAGTCTCCTCCAGAAGGCTGCTGTGGGTAGGCCAGATCAGAAATTCAGGAAGCTGAAACAGCCAAACAGCCAAAAGGTGGAACCCGGCCGGCTCCCGAGAACTGCCTGTGAAATGGGCCGGCTCTGAATAAGTGGAACAGTGGTGATAAGCCTTGAACGCCAGCTCAAGGGATGGGGCGTTATTTATAGACAAGTCCCTAAACCAGAGCCCCACCCACATTCCGAATGGATCAGGTGGTCCCACCTGGTCAAGGTCCCTGCGCCAGGTGTGCTCGCCCTCCCAGGTCCGTAATTGCCGACACCATCCCCACGAGTCTCCAGCCCGTCTACGCCCCTTCAGTCCGAGGCCGCTCTTGGACTGGGACTGGGGAGCCCAGGACTGATGCCGGAGGCACAGCGAACCGCGCGGCTGCAGGGAAGCCCTCTGTCCTGCAGGTGACGGGCTCCCGCGAGGCAGCAGGTGCCGAGGACGAGCAGCAGATCCCCTGGGCTGTGCGATGTGGAGGGGTCGGCTGCCATCTGAGAGCCTTCGTGGATGACAGCTGATGCTCGGGCCCACCTTCCTCGGCTGCTGAAAGGCTCTGAAACAACCGCGTGTAAAACGCCCTGGAATCTTAATTTCACTTAATTACTACGGGTTTCCTGTAAACGCTCCACGGTGTCATTGCTGCCATAGCGCTTCGCAGCGGGACCGCTCTGCCCCGCTGCCCTGGAACAGTCCGTCTGTACCCCATTGCCCCTCGGGATGTTGTTATGTTGCCTTTTTTTTTTTAACCCACCCAGAAGTCATATGTTGCCTTTTAACCTGGGGCGGGAGGTTGCAGTTGAGGCTGCAAGTCTGGGCCGGCTGCGCCCTGAGGGTCGGTTGCAACTAGCAGGCGCGACAGTGTCTACACCGGAATTCCAAGGAGGCTCCAGGCGCGTGACCAAGGTTCGATCTCCTGACCGTGAATCGCCAGCCTTCCCCCGTAGCTCCCTCCCCCTCATCTCTGACTCAAAGCTCGGCACGATCCCCCGAGCGCAGGCCCACGCTCCGCACAGCCTGTGGGCGGTGAGGTCCTGGCCCCGAAGCTTGGCCCCGTTGGGACTGTCCCTCCGCCTCTATTCCAGTGTAAAGACCGCGGAAGTAGTCTGGGGTCTGGGGAGCCGGGCAGCGACCTCGGCTGCAGGCTTCCGCGGCTGCCTCCAGGGTGCTGTCCACCCCGCGGTGCTGAAGCGCCCTAAGCTCCTCCGCCATCTACGGGAAGCCGAGTCCACGCTGCAGCCTCCACTCAGGATCCGATCCGAACTCCAGGACGCGTCCACACTGGTCGAACAGCCCTCATGGATGGATCGTCGCCTGCCTCAACTGTTCAGACCACAGAGGATTTCACCCAGAAGCACCAGGGAGGTCGGAGCTTGCCTGAGAGGACTCAGCGAAGGTCCATGCCTTTGTCCAGACCCAGTCAGCGCGGGAGTGGTGAGCGAAGCTCCAATCCCATGCTCTCTTCCGGCACTGGCAGGAATTCACATATTATGGACATAGTCCTTACTCACTCCAAACCTGTTCAATGAATTGTATGGGCCCCAGGAAAGTTTCCCTCGGCTTTTAGAATCTCAACCCCTCGTGGCCATCCGAGCTGTGTCAATACTGCTACCTGTGAAGCAGGAGAGAAAAATCCCTGGAATTCCTCCCGCACATCTCTCACAACGTGAATATGCCCTTCTTTGACACTGGGTACAGCAACTTCGGGACCAGATTTTTGCTCCTGAACATGTAAAATCTAAGTTTGGGCGGGCGCAGTAGCTCACACCTGTAATCTCAGCACTTTGGAAGGCCAGGGCGGAAGAATCACTTGAGCCGAGGAGTTCGAGACCAGCCTGGGCAACATAGTGAAACCCCATCTCTACAAGAAAACACAAAATTTAGCTGAGAGTGATGGCGCTCCACATGTAGTCCCAGCTACTCGGGAGGCTGAGGTGGGAGGATCACCTGAGACCAAAAGGTTTCAGTAGGCAAGCGAGACCATGTCCAAAAGAAAGAAAGAAAGAGAGAAAGAAAAAGAAAAGAGGAAGGAAGGAAGGGGGGAGAGAGAGAGAGAGAGAGAGAGAGAGAGAAAGAAAGAAAGAAAGAAAGAAAGAAAGAAAGAAAGAAAGAAAGAAAGAAAGAGAATTGAAGAAAACAGCACCCTCCATCCCTGGGACTGGCTGTCTTCCCCACCTGGCAGCTTGCCCTGGAAAAACACCACAAACATAACACAAATCTGTTACTAAACCAAAACATGGGGGAAGATAGCCAGAACATCACAGTCTGTGTCCCAAAGCCCTCTAGATGCAAGCTGGGACCTCAACCCTCTAGCTGCCTGCCCTGGGAGGGTGGAGATATAGCCAGAAGACAGACACCACTCCCACCACCCCAGCCTCCTGTATAAGCTGCAAAATGAAAATGTGGGCCAGGTGAGGTGGCCCAGGTCCGTAATCCCAGCTCTTTGGGAGGCCGAGGCAGGTGTATCACCTGAGGGCAGAAGCTTGAGATCAGCCTGTTTCCCCCGCCCCCCAAAAAAAAAGAAAAGGAAAAAGAAAATGTAGAGCCCTTCTAAAGGCAGCCCCTCTGTGACTATGCAAGCCCCTGGCCCCAGGAAGCCAGGACTGCCTTACTCCTCTACTGCACAAGGCTCATTAAACTTTACACTTCAGAAATCTCGGAGTTACTTACTAGGAAAGAGCCACTCCCTGCTTTCCATCTGCATAATAAACGAGGAGGCTGGAAGACCCATCTAACCACTCCATGTATACCCACTTGTGGCCCTTATCAGATGCAGGAGGTGAGCTAAGTTGCCAATTGCTCAGCTTCTTTCTACACCTGGAGAAGGGAGTGGCTAGGGCAGGGTCTTCAGGGAACGTGCTGCCTTATTCTCAACTGCTTCTCTCAGGTCCCCCAACCACCTCCCCCACTGGCTCGTTTGTTTTTTCTTTTCTCTCTCTCTTTTTTTTTTTTTGCGACAGTCTGGCTCTCTTGCCCAGGCTTGAGTGCAGTGGCGCAATCTCAGTTCACTGTAACCTCCACCTTCTGAGTTCAAATGATTCTCCTGCCTCAGCCTCTGGTGTACCTGGGATTACAGGTGTGCACCACTATGCCTGGCTAATTTTTGTGTTTTTAGTAGAGGCAGGGTTTTTCCATGTTGGCCAGGCTGGTGTCGAACTCCTGGCCTCAAGTGATACACCTGCCTTGGCCTTCCAAAGTGCTGAGATTACAGGTGTGAGCCGCCACACCAGACCTCTGAATGCTGTTTCATTGCTGTTAAATGATACCTCCCCACTAACCCGAAAAGAGACTCAGGACAGAGTGATCTACAATTAGATAGAAAGAACTTCCAAGCTGAAATGGTCCAAACTGTTAGATGAGCAGGGACAGCAGAGGGCGCCAATGTTGCGCAAAGGCACTCAGGGAGGAGGCACCACAAGCACATTTTCCCTCACATTCTGCAAATCTATTCAGAACCACCCTACCCCCAACCTCACACATATTCCCCACCTCACAGGCAGATCAGAGGTCAGAGTTAGGACTCCAGGCTCAGATTCTCTGACTGATCGACAAGGGACCTTCACTAGCCCCCACTGCACCCCTCAACTATTTTCACCAACTTAGGGCAGCTCCCCTCAGTGGGAAGGTGGTGAGAGGAGCTGAGACTCCCAGTTTCCCTGCCCATCTGGTTGCCCTATCCATTCAGTGGGGCGGGAAGGCATTCACTGCAGTGTTCTTTAGAAAGGGGAGGGAGCTGACCGTACAACCTTGGTGTATTGTGGAGCCACAAAAAAGGCTGCCCAGTAACATGGACTCATGTTTACACTGAAATGTAGATGTTAAAAAGCAGGACCCAGCCAGGCGCAGTGGCTCACGCCTGTAATTCTAGCACTTTGGGAGGCTGAGGTGGGTGGATCCCCTGAGGTCAGTAGTTCAAGACCAACCTAGACATCATGGTGAAAACCCATCTTTATTAAAAAAAAAAAAAAAAAAAAAAAAAAAAAAAAAAAAAAAGCAGGACCCTCCATTGTTCACAATGTCAATAGCATGCTTGTATGTAGATAAAGACCACAGGGGACACAGAAACATTAAACATGGTTTGAGGTGGGGTGGTAATTAAAAAAATGTTTTTTCTTAAAAATGCATCAGAATTGGCCGGGCATGGTGGCTCATGCCTGTAATCCAAGCGCTTTGGAGGCCAAGGCAGGCGGATCACCTGTGGTTGGGAGTTCAAGACCAGCCTGACCAACATGGTGAAACCTCGTCTTTTAAAAAAAAAAAAAAAAAAAAGCATCAGAATTGTAAAATGATTGCCTCTGGGAGATAAGGTTATGGATAATATTTCTTTTTCTTCTTTCCAAATGTTCTATGATGAGCAAGTGTTATTTGGGTTATCAGGAAAAAGAAGATCACAAATACACACACAAACACCCCTGAGAGAGCTTGTTTTCTTCCTTCCTTCCTTTCTGCCTGCCTTCCTTTTTCTTTTTGAGACGGAGTCTTGCTCTGTCACCGCGGCTGGAGTGCAGTGGCACGATCTTGGTTCACTGCAACTTGGGTTTAAGTGATTCTCCTGCCTCAGCCTCCTGAGTAGCTGGGATTACAGGCACGCACCACCACACCTGGCTAATTTTTCTATTTTTAGTAGAGATGGGGTTTCACCATGTTAGTCAGGCTGGTCTCGAACTCCTGACCTCAGGTGATCCACCCACCTCCACCTCCCAAAGTGCTGGGATTACAGGCCTGAGCCACCAGACCTGCTAGTCTCTCTTCCTTCCTTCCTTCCTTTCTTTTCTTTCCTTCCTTCCTTCCTTCTTTGTTTTCTTGCTTCTTTTAGGGGGACAGGGTCTCACACTGTCACACTGTTGCCCAGGCTGGAGTAAAGTGGCATGTTCATAGCCCACTGCAGCCTCCATCTTGATCTCCCAGACTCCAGGGATTCTCCTACCTCAGCTTCCTAAGTAGCTGGGACTGTAGATGTGCACAACCATACTCCCCTCATGTTTATTTTTTGTAGAGATGGAGTCTTGCTATGTTGCCCAGGCTGTTTTCAAACACCTGGGCTCAAGTGACCCTCTTGCCTCAGCCTTTCAAAGGGCTGGGATTACAAGTGTGAGCCACTGTGCCTGGCAAAGCCTTGTTTCTTTTTCTTCTCTCTGTCTCTTTCTCTCTCTCTTTTTGAAACAGGGTCTCACTGTGCTGCCCAGGCTGAAGTGCAGTGGTGCAGTCTTGGCTCACCGCAGCCTCAGCCTCCTGGGCTCAAGTGATCCTCCAGCCTCAGCCCCCCAAGTAGCTGGGACTATAGGCATGTGCCATCACACCCAGCTTATTTTTGTATTTTTTGTAGAAACCAGGTTTCACCAAGTCGCGCAGGCTGGCCTCGAACTTCTGGGCTCAAGCAACCTGCCAGGCTTGGCTTCTCAAAGTGCTGGGATTACAGGTGTGAGCCACCGCCAAGCCACCCTCAAGCCTATTTTCTTAATGTTGTCACCATGTTAATTAAGTAAGGAGCATTCCCTCCGTGACCAAAGTTGCTTGTGTGGCTTTGCTTTTCTCCCTACCCACTTCCCCCTCCTCGCCCTCTTTAGAGGGTCCCTCCATCACAAAACCCAAATGTAAATGAACGTACTTGGACAATCCGACCTTGCTCGCCTCCTGCTGGTGTGATCCTGCGCTCTTGTGGCTGACATGTTGAGAGGGGAGGGAACAACCACGGGGGACTATTCCTGAGTTTTCTGCAGGGGAGGGACAGAACATATGTCACCTCTATCACTGGGTAGTTTCACACATATTACTGCTATTACTTATTTCAAAATGTGCAGAACCAGAAGTTTCTGCCAACTCCTCTACCAAAAAGGCTTCTGCCCTTCCCCAGTGACAGTCTCTAGCTCTCTCTGCCAGCCCCCCTCCACTCCCTCAGATTCTCAGCACAGTCCAGAGAAATAGGGCAGGCACAGAGAGTGGGAAGAGGGAGCGCAGCCTCCACAGGTGCTGCCAGGAAAGAAGTTTTTTGGTCTTTGCAGGAATACGGCGAAGATCCAGGCTGGGGAGAGGTGGAGCCCAGGCTGTTGACTAACCCTTCTTTTGTGTGGATTTAATCTTACTCTCAGGGGACACAAAAGCTGGAATCTCTGCAAACCTTTCCAAGAATCATCTGCAAGTCAGCGGAGAATCTGCGGGTGAGGAAAGTGAGGGCAGATGGAGGCTGCGGCTCCCAGTGGGAGGGAAGAAGTGTGTGGGATTGGGAGGAGGTGAGATGGCATAGAAAGAACACTGGGGCCGGGTGCGGTGGCTCAAGCCTGTAATCCCAGCACTTTGGGAGGCCGAGGCGGGTGGATCACGAGGTCGAGAGATCGAGACCATCCCGGTCAACATAGTGAAACCCCGTCTCTACTAAAAATACAAAAAAAATTAGCTGGGCATAGTGGCACGTGCCTGTAATCCCAGCTACTCGGGAGGCTGAGGCAGGAGAATTGCCTGAACCCAGGAGGCGGAGGTTGCGGTGAGCCGAGATCGCGCCATTGCACTCCAGCCTGGGTAACAAGAGTGAAACTCTGTCTCAAAAAAAAAAAAAAAAGAAAAAAAAAAAGAAAAAGAAAAAGAAAGAACACTGGGAAGAGGGGCAGGAGACCAAGGTTCTAATCCCACCTCTACTCCTCTCTCCTTGCTGTGCAATTTGGGCAAGCCACTGCCCTCTCTGAGTCTCAGTTTCCTCTTCTGTAACTCAGAGAAGTAACAGAGGATCCTTACCCGCTCTGCAGTCAAGTGACTCTCTCTGAGAATGTTTCCTGGTCAATGAAATTAGGATCTTGATACCTATCCCCTGGAAAGGATAGATCAGTCCAACCTTCGAATCCTTGCAGAGAAGTTCCGGCCTCCAGCCTCACCTCCATGCCTTTTCTCATTCTGTTTCCTTCACCTGCATCTCCCTTCCCTTTTTAAGTTAAGGTCTACTTTGAAGACTCAGCGTGGGTCCGATCTCTTGAGGAAGGCTTCCCCAGTCTCTTCCCCACAGGCTGGCTTAGGCACTGCTCCTCTGGGCTTCTGTGCTGCTTTGGGCATAAAGCCACTGCAGCCTTAACAACTAAGAATTACAGTTGAGGGCCGGGTGTGGTGGCTCACGCCTGTAATCCCAGCACTTTGGGAGGCCAAAGCGGGTGAATCACAAGGTCAGGAGTTCAAGACCAGGCTGATCAACATGGTGAAACCTCGTCTCTATTTATTTATTTAAAAAAAAGAAAGAATTACAGCTGAGGTTTACTGAGCACTCAGTAAGTGTCCAGACAGGCCCTTTACCCAGCATTATCTTGTGGAATTCTTTTTTTTTTTTTTTTTTTTTGAGACAAAGTTTCGCTCTTGTTACCCAGGCTGGAGTGCAATGGCGCGATCTCGGCTCACCGCAACCTCCGCCTCCTGGGCTCAGGCAATTCTCCTGCCTCAGCCTCCTGAGTAGCTGGGATTACAGGCACGCACCACCACGCCCAGCTAGGGTTTTTTGTATTTTTAGTAGAGACGGGGTTTCACCATGTTGACCAGGATGGTCTCGATCTCTCGACCTCGTGATCCACCCGCCTCGGCCTCCCGAAGTGCTGGGATTACAGGCTTGAGCCACCGCGCCCGGCCTATCTTGTGGAATTCTAACTATGCTCATATGAAGGTACTGCTGGTTTTCTTTTCTTTTCTTTCTTTTCTTTTTGACACAGAGTCTTGCTCTGTTGCCCAGGCTGGAGTGCACTGGTGCGATCTCAGCTCACTGTAACTTCAGCCTTCTGGGTTCAAATGATTCTCCTGCCTCAGCCTCCAGTGTACCTGGGATTACAGGTGTGCACCACCATGCCTGGCTAATTTTTGGGTTTTTAGTTGAGGTGGGGTTTCTCCATATTAGCCAGGCTGCTCTCGAACTCCTGACCTCAAGTATCTGCCTGCCTCAGCCTCCCAAAGTGCTGGGATTACAGGCATAAGCCACCATGCCCAGAGCTGCTGTTTTTATTCCGGCTGTTTTTTTTTCCCTCATGGTCGAAGGCTGGTGATTTTACTGATCAGGACATTGATCATGATGGAGGTGGAAGCTGAGTGTCAGGGCTGGGATGTAGACCCCAGGGGGTAGTGTGGGTTCTACTCCTGTTCTGATCCTCTGCCTTATCCTCTCTCTGCCCACCCGCTACACTGAGCATAAGGTAGGATCCGTGTCTGTTTAGGGCTATGTATTTGACCTTCACCTGAGCTGTGAACTCAGGGGTTCAGGGGCTCAGCTCCCTGTGTGCCTCCACCCCATGCCTCTCACAGTCCCAGCAGGGGATGCATCTGAGCCCCACGTTCCCAGGTCCACACAGTTGGGAGTCCTTGCCCTTGGGAGTCCAGGAAGAGCCTGGGTGTGCGAGAGCCCCTCCCCAGTGCTAATTCAATGTCCCATCCCACTGAAGCTGCCTCCACACTTACCTGGGGACAGATTTAATCCACTGCTTAGGAGATCCAAGATGGCTGATCACTAGCAGCTCGGGATTGTAGCTCCCAGTGAAAGCGCAAGGAATGAGAGGACGCCACACCTTCACATGAATTCTTGTTGCTCACGCACCAGGAGATTCCCAGCAGAGGAGCCCCACGGGTCGCCAGCGCGACTCTTGTGACCGGCGAGGCGGTTTTGCCGGCGCCTCGGAGCGTCGGTTCTCGGTGCAGAGTCGAAAAAGCACCATTAATCTTAATGCCGCTGATTTGGTCTGCGCAGTGGGTTGCTCAGATTTCGGCGCTGAGAATCAGTAAGTTGGATGTCCACTCAGAAACCTAATTACAAAGACGGTGAATACAAAGACCACAGATGGATAAATTTATAACGAAGGGAGGAAAACGGCCAAAAAAGGCTGAGAATGCCCAAGATCAGAACGCCTCTCCCTCAACAGGGGATCACAGTTCCTCATCAGCAATGGAACAAGGCCTGATGGAGAACGAGTGTGTTCCAATTACAGAAGCAGGCTTCAAAATGTGGATAATGAGAAACTTCTGTGAATTAAAAGAACTTGTTTTGGGCCGGGCGCGGTGGCTCAAGCCTGTAATCCCAGCACTTTGGGAGGCCGAGGCGGGTGGATCACGAGGTCGAGAGATCGAGACCATCCTGGTCAACATGGTGAAACCCCGTCTCTACTAAAAATACAAAAAACTAGCTGGGCGTGGTGGCGCGTGCCTGTAATCCCCGCTACTTAGGAGGCTGAGGCAGGAGAATTGCCTGAGCCCAGGAGGAGGAGGTTGCGGTGAGCCGAGATCGCGCCATTGCACTCCAGCCTGGGTAACAAGAGCGAAACTCCGTCTCAAAAATAAAAATAAAAAAAATAAAAAATAAAATAAAAAATAAAAAAATAAAAGAACTTGTTTTAACCCAATCTAAAGTAAGAACTTTGAAAAAAGATTTGACGAAATGTTAACAAGAATACACAATTTAGAGAGGAATATAAGTGAATTGATGGAGCTGAAAAACACAATAGGAGAACTTCGTGAAGTATGCACAAGTTTTAACAGCCGAATTGATCAAGCAGAAGAAAGGATATCAGAGGTCGAAGACCAACTCAATGAAATAAAACAAGAAGACAAGGTTAGAGAAAACAGGATAAAAAGGAACGAGCAAAGTCTCCAAGAAATATGGGACTATGTGAAAAGACCTACTCTACGCTTGATAGGTGTACCTGAATGTGACGGAGAGAATGAATCCAAGCTGGAAAATACGCTTCAGGACATTATTCAGGAAAATTTTCCCAGCCTAGTAAGGCAGGATAATATTCAACTCCAGGTAATACAGAGAACACCACAGAGATATTCCTCAAGAAGAGCAACTCCAAGGCACATAATCGTCAGATTCACCAGGGTTGAAATGAAGGAGAAAATACTAAGGGCAGCCAGAGAGAAAGGTCAGGTTACCCACAAAGGGAAGCCTATCAGACTCACAGCAGATCTCTCAGCAGAAACCCTACAAGCCAGAAGAGAGTGGGGACCAATATTCAACATCCTTAAAGAAAAGAACTTTCAACCCAGAATTTCACATCCAGCCAAACTAAGCTTCACAAGTGAAGGAAAAATAAAGTTTTTTGTGAATAAGCAAGCACTCAGAGATTTCATCACCACCAGGCCTGCTTTAGAAGAGCTTCTGAAAGAACCACTACACATAGAAAGGAACAAACAGTATCAGCCTTTCTAAAAAAATTATCAAAAAGAGCATCAATATAATGAAGAATTTACATCAACTAATGGACAAAATAGCCAGCTAATGGCAGTATTAAACTCACATATATTATTATTAATTCTAAATTTAAATTGACTAAATCCCTCAATCCAAAGACAGGCAATTTGAATAAAAAACTAAAACCCATCAATATGCTGCATCCAGACCCATCTCACATTCAAGGATACACAAAGACTCCAAACCAGGGATGGAGAAAGATTTACCAACCAAACAGAGAGCTAAAATAAACAAATAAAAAGCAGAAGTTACAATTAAGCAACAAAGATCAAAAGAAGCAAAGAAGGACATTATATAATGATAAAAGGATCAATGCAACAACAAGAAGAGCTAAAGATCCTAAATATGTATGCACCCAATACAGGAATACCCAGACATATAAGACTAATAAAGAGACTTAGACTCCCACACAATAATAGTCGGAGACTTCAACATTAATATTAGACAGAATCAATGAGACAGAAAATTAACAACGATATCCAGGACTTGAACTCAGATCTGGAACAAGTAAACGTAATTAACATTTATAGAACTCTCCACTTTAAATACACAAAATATACACTCTTATCAGTACCACATCATATCAACTTAGAAGTTTAAACGAAATCTTGGTTGGCTCCTTGTTTGTTATTCTCTTCCCTCATTTTCTTTTATATCTCCATTATTAAGGACAATTATAGGCATACCCATATTTAGATTGCATTCTAGCCCGGGCAATAAAGCAATACCCCCATCCTCTCTCCCTCTTCCTCTTTCTCTTTCTTCCTCTTTATTCTTTTTCTTATAAAAATAAATAAATAAAAATAAATAAATAAATAAATAAAAATAAATAAATAAATAAAAAATAATCCTCTGCTTAGAGGTCATGGTCACATGTGCCAATGTGCCAAGCCATGGACCAAGCCTCCTCCAACTTTAGGTCACTGAGGCCTCACAGCAACCTTTGAGAGAGACCCGGGGATGATTTCCATTTCACAGATGAGGAAAACGGAGGCGCAGCTGCCATCACAGAGCAAGTGGGTGGAGCCCGAAGTGACTCCAGGGTTGTATGTCTCAAAGCCCCTTAGCTTTCTCATGGGCTCCCTTCTGTTCCTGACAGGCCGTGCGTGCGTGCAAACATCCCCAGAGGACAAGGAGTGTGATTAATCTTTGCATCTGCCATGGGCCACCAGCTACACCCAGGCACTGAGAGGCCGGTTGTGAAAGTCTGGGCTGGGCAGGCCCCTGGTTCACAGCAGACTCAGAATAACTGTTTATTGGTGGAGGTCAGAAGCTCAGGGATTACCATCTCCAGTTTATAGATGAGGAAGTTGCAATCAGCGGGGTGCAGGAAAGTTGCCCAAGGTCATCTGTGAGTCAGAGAAAGAGCAAAGACTTGAACTCAGAACACTGGGAGGATCTGCCAAGTAAGAGGGAGGAGGCTGGGGCTGCTGGGCTGGGCTCTCCCACTGAGGTGGCCTGGGCTGGCAGGTTTATGGGCCCTGTAAGTCACTGGGACATGTCAGCACCCATTCCAGCTCTAATGACCCTAAGTCAGGCCTTGCCCCTACAGGTAAGCTGGACCCCAGTTAGCCTAGACAGTGACACGTAACTGGTTTACAGCTGGCCAGGCCAGGGGTCGGGACTGGGAGATAAGGCTGAGAATGTTAAGACCAGGAACGGGCAGGGTGGCCACTTACCCTGTTGGAGTTAGAGATGGCAGACAGAGCAAGACCCCTCCAGCCACCCATCGCCAGTGTGCAGCCTCTGTGGTGTCTATAGTTAAGATGCATAGATGAGAGAGTGCACAGCTTTACCCCTCCCCCAACCTCGTTCCTCAGAGGGGATGCCTCACCAGGGACTGGTTCTCCTCGCTTTCTGGTCCCAAAATGTATCCAGGGCCCGCCTGTCTCCTGGGGGGCCCCAATGCAATGAACTTGAACATCGGTCATTGATCAATAGTCCCTTAACCCTACCAAAGGTTTCCGAGCCTCTCCCCTGCTCCTCAGGGGGCTGTCCTGAGGTCACAGGACTCCCTGGGATCATCTTTATTCCCAGGAACAGGCTTCCTCAGTCCTGAAAGGGACATTTTTATAGCCCTGTGAACACAAATGCACTCCCCAGAATAGGCTCTGGGTGTGGAATCCCTCCTGCGGCTGTCATGGTCTCAGGCTGGCTGGCGATGAAATTCTACAGTGGTGTTGACAATAGGGCCCTAAGCCTGGCATGAACACCCCCTTCCCTCCCACCTGCCTCTCTGTGGGATCAAAGCTGTTCCGTGAGGCTGTGTGATCCTGGGCCAGGAGCGGGGAATCAGCCTCAACTCTAAGCGAGGAGGAAGCCTCTTTGCCTGAATCCTTCTGAGGAAGGCAATCCCCCTTCAGAGGTCCCTAGCCCAGGTTCAAAGGTCGGTAGGGGCTGAAAGTTGGCAGCGGATAGGGAAGTGGCTAGACCATAAAATCAGAGCTCTCTGTTGATGGGTTGATGGAGGGGGTCCAGGTCCATTGCCTGGTTCCCCGTCCCTCTCCTGCACCCCAGCCTGAGCTTCCCAAACTTCCACAGAAGCCCCCACCCCATGTGGGACACAGAGGACCTGCAGTAGCAGGGGGCCACAGCTAAGAGGGGAGACAAGAGGCAGCTTGGGGGAGCAAGGGGGACCCCACTTCCTCAAATGTTGGAACCATCCTTAAGAGAACTTTCTCTAGACTCCTCTGGAGATCTTGGCAGATGGAAGAACTGGGGGTCCATTCAGACCCCAGTCTCTTCTCTTCCCATCCCATCTCTCCACCTGGGGGGCCTCAAATAACCTAGCTCCTCCCCTTTGACCCCAGCTTCTCCCTCACCGAATCCTCTTGCAATCCATTTCTTAATTCTGTCCCTCAACCCTCCTTCCCTGACCCAGGCTCTACTCGTCACACAAACACCAGTAAGGGCAGTTTAGAGACAGCTTTGCTCTGTGTTGGAAGGTCTTTGATCTTCCTAGAAATTAAGTTTGGAGCAGCCTGGGAGGAAATGGAAGAAGAATGAGACCCAGAGAATCAATGACCACTGCCTGGGAGAGGCAAGAGAGCCCTTCTGCCACCACTGATTCCACAAACGGCATCACACGCCCCTCAGCATCTCATTTCTTCCAGGCCCTCTCCACCCCATCCCAAGGCCATTCCAAGGTCCCATTCAAGATCACTGCGCAGGGGTGGCGCCAAATGATCGAAGTCATCATCGGGGCACTCACTCTTGTGTGGGTCTAGCACTTTGTGGTGTCGCGTCCCTGTTCCAAAACCAGAGACCAGGAGTAGAATGGAG